CGAAATTATGATTGGACAATGGCATTTAGGTTCATTTTACACAATACTTTAAGGAAAGATAAGTGTCCTCATTACTCCAAACACATTTGCTGTTATTTTTTATCTAATGGAAACATGTCAGTGGACACTGAAGTCACATGCTTCTTGTGCAACATCCATTTATTCCTTACATTTGTTTCAATTGCACTTTCTCTCAGTGCTTTTATTGATTTGCCAATTTTCCCAACTCACAAAAGCATTTCCACTCACATTTGATTTTTTTCAATGCACAAATTGAAAATACACAGATAAAAGGGAGCCAGGGGAAACTTGGCTCCTCTTAGCAAGACACGAGCTCTTAGAAAAACATGATGTGTGAAAATTTAGGAAGTGAGGGAGGATGGGAGGGATCTTAAAAAAACTGACAATATGTCTATTTTTCCATTGAATTCTGTTGTGCTGTATTTTCATTATCATGGATCCTGACTAAAATGAGGATATTATTGATTGTACTCACTTTTGTGACTTACTGTAACTTGAGAGTTATTGCCACCAGCTTTTTATCTTAGAAATGAATGTATTGTTATCATCTTTGTTAGTAATGGATGGAAAATGGCCACTGATTAACATTTTTCTCAAAATTCAGTTAAAATGTGTACCACAGTTGCTCTGTTGCTATAGTTATGGCTGTGTCAGCCTTGCATAAATTAAATAAAACCGAATTGTTTTCGTGAGATCTTACAAGCCGATAACAATGCAACTAAAATGTGAAATCAGACTTGCTGGATAATGCAGTTTATTTTATGATGTATTCAGCAGTGTTCTTAATTTAATTTTTTTTTTTTTTAAATAAGTGAGAATAGGTTTTCCTAAAGGGAGAATTTTAAATTAGTTTCCACTATATCTTCTGTTATTTACTACACATTTACTCTGAACATTTTGTTTTTTTGTTATTTTTTTACAGCGGAGATAAATTTTTGCTGCACTCTATGCTGGTACAGGACAAATCTCGTAGCAGTAAACTGTGGTACATGTGTGTGTCGTGAATCCTGGAGGCTGTGGGTGGCAGGTTCAATCAGTGTTTTTCACTCAACAGTGAAGTGTAAAAGCAGGGTCTATCAATACAGTGCAGCAGCTCTGTCCTCCGTGGCTGGCACTCAAAGAGAACAAATCGATCGATATTTGGCAGTAGACCTCCCATCTACCAAGGCTGAGACATGCCATACGCTGTTTGACCCTGTGTGTGTTTGTGTGTGCTGCAAGTTATTTTTCTTTGTGTGTGTGTGTGTGTGTGTGTGTGTGTGTGTGTGTGCGTATACAAGGCTCTCAGAATTCACTGCTTTTAATAGGAAGGTACATCTCACACTCAGTTTGATTTCACAAATTGAATTATGCATGTTTCAATAAGCAAGGTTGGGCTTTTTGTTGTTGTTGTTGTTGTTGTTTAATTTTTGTGTGTGTGTGTGTTTGGAAAGGTCACAGCTGTGTAATGAGGGTTAGGGCTGTCATACTTGCAAACACACATATTCATACACGTACCATGACAGAAATTTGACCTGAAAGTCTTGGTGTGCGGGTGGTAGTGATTTTAAAAGCTGTTGTCACTCAGGATGAAAATACAACAGTGCCTGACTGATGGATCCTCCTCTCCTCTGAGTCATCCGTCTATTTTAGGCTTTGCCTTCACAGCGCCTGCAATCAACACTGACATGTCAACCGTGTTTTTTGGATTGCCTGGAACTTCACCCTGGATTTAAAAAAAAATATATCTTGAGATTTAAAACGATGCAGTTTGCTTTGACGCTACTTTCTCTTTAGTTCGGGTTATACTAGGATATCGTGTTGATGTAAGCTTTTTAAAAATGAAACTAAGACCTTTTAGTTTGATGGGGATGTCCTACGGCGTTACGAAGTGAAACAAGAACCAGCGTCTTTATATAAAAGCTAGCGATAGCAGGCTACAGAGGTGGGACTCATTAAAAAATAATGAGCTGTGGGGTAGTGGACTGGCCACATCAGTTATCACGAACCCTATCACAGCACCAGATGCTTCAACTAAATAACCGCCATCATCCAGTCTGATAATCAGCTTCAACACAAAAAGAGCAGAAATGTCAGCTGGTAGCTACACTGTTTCATCTATTCTAGCTGTTTTCATTCTTTTACATTTACTCATTTACCTTATTTGACTATAAAGCAGGGACAGCCTGAACAAAGCAGATTCCATGGCTTCACCACAGACAACACCTTGCTAATGAAAACTAACTAAGAGATTTAGTCACCTTAGGCCACGGCAGTCAAGGGAACTGCGACTAAATAGCAAAATGTGTAACTATTCACTGTTAATTCTCTGAACCCAAAAACCTGCAGATGGGTTTGAAAGGCACATTATATTTGAAAACAGACAAAATCAAACCATTTACCAGAGCCTGAAACTGTAAAAACAGAAAAACAGATTTTTAACTTTTCAGCAGTCCATAGACTACTCATCTGTGATGTGCTGCTCCATGGAAATTTGTGCTTATTATTTATCACTGAGGGAAGGTGGCAACAACACCACCTAGGCAAGCTACGAACATGCAGGCAGCACCATGACATTAGTACAAATGTACATTATCAGGTGATGTGAATGTCACATTAAAGACCCCCCTAGGTAAATATCAAGCTTTTTACTCTGTGAATATGTCCATATTTATATTGTGATATATTGTGAGTTAAATAAGCAGTCAACACTGTGGCTGAGCATTTCCATCTTACAACTGCGGTGTACTGATGACAGTCTCAAAACTGTGGATTTTGAACTAATCCTGTCCACTTGTAGGGTGGAACCTTCTGTGCAACGTTTGTTCTTCAGAACTAATTTCCGGTTTGAACATGTATGGCTGAATTAATTGGATATTCGAACTTGCCATTGTGTAGCGTTGAGTACTTTTATAGTGTTTGAGCAGAGTGAGCTGGTGTGCTCGAGCTGGTGTAGTATTAAAATGCTTAGAAGTTATAAAAATTTTTAATGCAATGCTGAGACTAAAATGTTAAAATTTTGTTTGATAAAAAATGATGAAAATCAACTGAAAGTGAAAAGCTTAAATTGCTAAATACATCACTGGGGTTATTTTCTCTGATTTAGGAAGTGCTAAGTGAACCATAAAAGCCATTATGCACCTGTTTTCACAGTTAGTTAGTGGTCCCAGTCGCTCTTCATGCATCAGCCATTTTGCAACAGTTTCAGCTGAGGTGGTGCCCACGTTCTTTTTGCTCTTCATTTCATAGCTTTACTTAAGAAGAAACAAATTTAAAGATAAGTGACAAAGATTTAAGTGAGAGTGAGAAGCCTGCCATCCCAACGCTGAACCATCACAGTCAGACAAGCCTTCATGAATTCTAAAGAGCTGTTTTTGTTCTACTTGTTACAACTTAGAGCTGTTCCTTTATTGTTTTTCCTCTCCCTCAGTTCTGTTTGTCCTTTCTAATTCTGTCTCTGTTCCACTTTATGGAATTACCCATTTAAAGTGTCCAGTGAGCATAACAGTTATAGTATTTTTTAATATATTGAAGATTACTCTAACTACTGTAATACCATGGTTGGAACTGCAGTCCACATCATACTTGTGTAGGTGGAAATGGTAATGAAGAAGTATATTGTAAATGAAGTTACATGTGCATAGTTTTAATCAAGTTTTATTTCAATGTTGTGAAGAGATATGCTAATTGCAGGGCGTATTTATCTAAAAATAACAATGTTGTGTCTATGTCTGTTTCTTACAACTATCCAACATCAAAAATGTACTTAAAACTGGTCTGTACAGAAATGCTACCCATAATGTTTCAGCTTCAAGGTTGTTCTTCTTTGTACGGCTCACTGTGGGGGGCATTATTGTCGCAAAACTATTTGTCCATGCGTACAGAGATATTCGTAGTTGAAAAGTCTGCATATTCGAGTCGAGCGGCTTCACCATTGGTTGTCTTTTTACACGTGACTTCAGCTACATTTCCACCGTGAGAGATCTGAAACTGAAAAGTATCTGAAAATAAGTGTTTCTGTGTCCTGAGCTCAGGCTCACAGGATCGTTCATTGTGGCTGCTGCCGCTCAGCTGCCCTGTACCAATGAGCAAACAGATGAGCAGATTTTTTTTACACATTTGAAAGCCTGATTACAGACAGACAAATTGTGAGACGACTTTTGCAGATTCCTGTTCGCATTGACAACATCTTTTACACATTGACAAATCTCACTTTGGATGAACAGATTGAGATACAGACAAACAACTCTCCATACACATGGATAAATAATTTTGCTACAATAATGCCCCCATAGCTCAGCATGTTCTTATATTACAGCCACAAAGCAAAGCATCTAATTTTCTGGAAAAAGTATTGCTTTGCAATTGTTGTAGTCTCGTCATTTAACATACATACTGCTGGTGCTTTTCTAACCATCTGCATGGAATAAAAAATTTTTGACCGCTGCACAAAAATTGAAGGATTTTTGACTAGTGTCCTAACTTGTCTTTTTAGAAATTGAAATTGCATTTTTTTTTGTTTGTTTTATTATTTTTTTAAACCAGTAGCATATGAAGGAGTTGCAATATATATTTTACACATAAATTATTAGAAAGTTAATGTAGACAAATGGAACAGACAATACAGCAATACTTTGGTTCAATACCTTGTGGGAATTACTGGAAACTTAAGACTGGCAATATTTAATATGTAAACTTCTGTTTATACTGTATATTGTTTCTAGCTCCCAAGTTTGTTCGGGTCAGCAAGTTGTTAGGCTGCTTTTTTACCGTGCAGCATTTGTCTCATGTTGTATAGACTTCCCAGTGGCCAAAACTCACAAAAAATACTCCCTTAATAAAATAATGCACTCCCTGACAGCTCTGCTTCAGGTTTAGACTGGTCTTCTGTATGTCTTGTATTTATCTTTGTCTCTGAGTTTCAAACATTCTCATTCTCTGGTTCTGCTCCACATTCTTGATGTGTCTCTTCTCATTCTTTCTCTCTCCTAAAATGGTAGAAATTTCCGCAAACACCTTCGAATGGTTGGCAGCCGCAGGATGAAGGCCCAAAGTAAGTCTTTCAGTGGTCCTGTTTGCATGTCTGTGCATTAGCGGTTCCATGCATTCATGCTCTACAGTGTGTTCCATAATATCATAACTGATGTTCATCAGACTTGATTCATGCTTTATGCATGCAGCAACAGTATTGTGCATGTTTATAGGAATATGTGGGGGATTTTGTTTCAGTATATAATGCCATCATAAATCAAATTTGGTCGACAGTCCCTCTCCATTCAAAATAAATAGGTTGTCTCAATTGAGTTAAAAGCAGAAATATTGTAACTCCATAACCAGTGAGTAGGTAAGGGAGGGCATTCAGACCCACAGGCAAGATTTAAACAAGAAACTTGTGCTAGTTGTGTTCAGGCTAAGCCTGGCTTATTAGATAGCAACAACAACAACAATCTTAGCCTGAAACAAATTAATCTAACTAGTTACAGTGGTTGTTTATGGAACTCCAATTACATTAATTAAGGGACTGAGATGAGTCAGCTAAAGATTGTGAGCATTGCAGCAGATTTCACTGGCACTGACTCAATTTTCTACCAAAAAGAACAAACATTCTACCATTTTGCCATTAGCATTATGTATAATCATGTCAACACAAATATGAATGGAATATGTCCTGCCTATAGACACCGAAGACCTAAGTGAAACCATAACAAAAAATGCTGAATTCTTTTTCTGTCAAAATGTGTTTTTCATGGTATAACAATACTATAATTTAATAATAATCAGTCAGTACCAGATATTTTATGCTTCAAGATTCACAGTTGTAGCAGTTTATTTCTTGAGTTGGTCATTTGTGTTTGAGTTGGACTGTTAGTTAAAAAATAAACTGAAGACATCAGCTTGGGCTTTGGGTATTTTTACTATGGGCCCTGTAAGTACACCCAACAGTGATGACATAATGTACTGACACCCTGGAGTACACTGACACTGATCACTGCAGCAGCTTCAGTTTAACTGTTTCTATCATAATTTGCCTGGAGCAAATAATTTGGATAACAGAACATAATAAATTGATGAAATGTCATTTCAACATGATACAACGGCAACAACAAAAAAAAACAAAACAACATCACTGTATTACCACTAGCGTTGTGTTAAAACAAAGGTCAGTGTTGTGACAGGGACTCTGTAATCAGCTGAGTGTTGCATGTTCTTCAACCACGCTGGCTCAACCAGACAGAGCCCTTGATTATTGGGGTTGATTATCCTGTGTGTATGTGGGTGAGTGATTCTCTTCCCCCCCCCCGACTCCATCAGCCTTCGCCGACCGTCGAGCCAAGAGCTTCAGCCGCTCGTGGAGCGACCCCACCCCCGTCAAGCCTGAGTCACTGCATGACTCCAGAGACAGTGAGTCCACGCTCCTTCAGTTGCTCACACACACGCCAACAAAGACAGACACTTTCATTTACCTGCATACTTTTGAACAGTTACCCTCACAGACACTCGGGTGCATGTGTGAGAATAAACCTGCTGTAAACACACCCACATGAGTCAGGCGAACACGTGCACTCGAACACACCAGAGCTGCAGACACAGAATATACACACTAAGCCAGAGGGACACACACTGACAGATGTACTGTGACGCACATAGGCTCTCTTCTACTGTCGTTTTTGACTGTCACTGTGTGTCTAAGGTTTGTCTATTTACACTTTGTGCTACTCTGTGTACAAGTACTCGGCTGCCATCCATCCACACAGCCGTCCTCATCTTTGAGCCTGTTGTCCATCTGCCTGTTGCTTTGTGTCGCCTCTGTGTCTGTACATGGCCGGGTGCATAAGGAGGCCGTTATTGTGCCGCTTTGTGTCGTCTGTCGTTTGATTTTAACTCCTCCATTCCTCCCCTCTGCCCTGGAAAAATAAAATAGCAGGTGCACTGCTTTTAAATGGAGCACCCTCCTCTGTAATCTCATTTGTGTGCTATCCTTTCATCTTGCCCTTTGTTGCTGTGCGTGAGCCAGGTGGCGAGCTTCAGACCTCCTCAGGGACACTAGATGAAGGGCTGGATGAGGATGCTGACTGGGAGGAGGAGAGGGAGATGGAGAGAGTGGCCTGCGAAGGAGAGGACTTCATCCCACCCAAAATCATGGTGAGGATCCTGGAAATCAGTTCAAAATTGACAGTGTATCCGTCATTTTTTCATATATATATGCAGCCATGGTTTCTCCACAAGTTCCCCTGTTTTCCACAGCTGATATCCTCCAAGGTACCGAAGGCTGAATACGTTCCCAACATCATCCGTAGGGACGACCCCTCCATCATTCCTATCCTTTATGTGAGTAGCACACATTGACAGCTTTACACCACCATCGTATATAGGTTTTGATTGACTGGTTGATTTTGTATTTATTACTGCCGTCATGCATCCCATATGATTAACAACACCTGTCTTTTTTCACTGTAAAATAAAAACTGCCAACGTAAAGGCTATAAAATTTAACAGTCATGCTTCATCACGTGTAAAGCAATTTATTTATTATTTATTGACTTTATTCAACCAAAAGCAAAAAGTGAAATGAGTGAAAAGTTAAGGCACATCATTTGATATATTTCTTACCATGGCTGGGCTTGGTTACAAAAATA